AGTACCAAGCCTTGGCAAAGTTTGAGATGCAGAGCAAAATGTGATTTGGGGAGCATCTTGTGTTTCATGAAAGAGGCAAAATGGTTAGTTTTGTTTCAACTGATATGTCTGACATAAAGCTGAGGAAGCGTTAAAAGATTTGTGGGTTTGGATGGCTTTCTTTTTGTTTCATGACTCAAAATGTCTAGTATTTTTAAAAGGCAGAAGTAGGAAGGAAATTTCAAATGCTGATCAAACTCTTTACGGTTTCAGGTGTCTTTTAAAACAAACAAGCTGGCAGAGATTTTGGAATGTCAGAAGGTGCCAACGATGGGGAACAGCTCTAAGTATCACAAAAGGTTGAGTCGTGGACTGAGGCTTCAAGACCAGATCTGGTACGCGAGATGAACAAGCTGATTCCTATATTTCAAGCAGAATTTGCCAGTTTCCATAACGAGTTTGAAACTGGTATAGCTGTTACAGCTTCCCTCAGAGTGTGTGAGAGATGGTGAGCTTTCCTTGCTGAGAGACAAATCCCTTGGCCTCTTCAGAGACTCGTGATATCTTAACTGGATTGAAACGGGATTAAATTTCATGCTCCTCCAGTCATATTTGGAGGCTCTGCTCTGGATACCACCACCATCTGAGGCAAGACAGGTGGCGTCCAGAGAAAGGGCTTTCTCAGTTCTGGCACCAAAACTTGGGAACTCCCTCCCCAGGGAGATTCATATGATTCTCTCTAGAGTCGGCTTTCACACACGCTGAATAATCCACTGTCAAAGCACTTCAGTGATTGTTTGCAAGTGGATTTTACTGTTGCATGTGAGCTGTGGTGGCTCAGAGATTAAGACGCTGAGCTGCAGACCGGAAGGTCTGAAGTTCGGCAGTTCGAGACCCGAGTGCTGCCTGATGGAGTGAGCTCCCATCTCTGGACCCAGCTCCTGCCAACCTAGCCGTTTGAAAGCAAGAAATTGCAAGTAGATAAATAGGTATCGCTTTGGTGGGAAGATAACAGTGTTCTGTGCACCTTGGCACTTAGTCATGCCAGACACATGACCATGGAGAAGTCTTCGGACTGTTGCCCTGCAAGGTGCTTATTGCGCTCTTATAGACATAAAGTCTATAAGTGATAAAAATGGACTATGCTTATTCATGTGCAAAAGGGACTGAGATGTAAGGTGACCAGATCGTGATGCCAGCTGTACACACAAAGCAGCAGATGCTGAGGCGATGTGCCCGTGGTTCCCGAGGCCACCCCGCTCCAAGATGTATCCCTAGCCACATGAAACACCCAGAACAGCCACTCGCCATTGTGGTTTAAACAGATGCTTCCCAACGCCATTAGGGAAGTTTCCTCTACAACGCAGGCAACCCCCCCCCCCAACCTTCTCCGCAGGGTAGGCACAAAAGACTCTTTTCCCACCTTCTGTTGACAAAGGACTTAGCCTTCCTAATCCTCTCGAGGAACCCGGTTTTACCTGACCTGGCCGAGGAAATGGACTTCTGTAACAATAGGTGATAGCCGATGAGTCATCCCAAAGTCATCCTGCCACAGACTTAGAGTTTAATACTGACCAACCCTTTAAGCCCCCATCCCCATTGCAGACGTGACTTTTTGGAACGGACCACAAGGGGTTGTCTCAAGGGAGGTGGCCAGCAACGCCCTCCCCCAGAGCCCCCATACAAAAGTGGGCACCCAGCAACGTGCTCGCTCTCTAGATCTCTTAGCTCTCTAGCTATTCCTATCCTGAAACCCACCCTGCCTCTTAAGACTTTTGAACTGCAGCCAAAGTCCCCACGTGTTTCTGCCGGTTCAGAACACGATCCCTATTTCCTATTAGTCTCTCCTATTTTTCCTCACTCACTCACTGGAGAAGACCCTGATGCTGGGAAAGATTGAAGGTCAAAGAAGACGGGGACGGCAAAGGATGAGATGGTTAGACAGTGTCATAGATGCAACGAACATGAAATTGAGCAAACTTCAGAGGACGGCGGAAGACAGGAAGGCCTGGTGGGATCTGGTCCATGGGGTCGCGAAGAGTCGGACTCGACTGTGCGACTGAACAACAAAAAGTTTTCCTTTGGGATGTGCCATCCCGCTGAGGACAGGTAAATATTGCCCCTCAACGAAACATCCTGCTCATGCGAATGTCTCTTGATTTTCTATCTAATTTCCTAGAAGCTGTGTAATTGTGTGAGTGTTTGTGTATCATTTGCTTGTGGAGAATCTACAGTAAAGGAATCATTTTATATTGAAATTAGCCTCCGTGTCTATTCCTGGTGCTTCTGGAAGAAGCAGGACCCCTGTATATAAAGGTACTTGTTCCCTTATTGCCTATTGCTATTTTAAAACATTTCATATTCCCCAATATTTATAACAACTCAGAGCAATCAGGCTAACAGGACAGCACTGGCTCTTTAGCTTGGAAACAGAGATGAGCACCGCCTCCTAGAGCCAGATTCGACTGGCTTTCAAGCAAGGGAAACCTTTACCTTTATGTTAAAATCTAGTTGCAAAGTGCATTGAAAATGGATTGAAAATGCATTGCTCAGTGTGTGTGAAAGGGCCCTCAGTGTCTTCCATCAGTGTGTGAGGACTTTTTTTATTCAGCTGGCAGATCCCACACAATGGTCATTGGTCCCCCCTTCTAGTGTTGTTTGTTTATTTGTTTTAATTGAATTGTTTTATAGTTCTAAATGTTGTTTTTAATTGTTCAAATGTTTTAATGTTTTTGTGTATGCTGCCCTGGGGGCCATGATCAGGTGGAAAGGTGGCATAAAAATATCCTAAATAAAATAAATAAATATTTGTGAGAGTGGCTGAGACCCTGGAGAGGAGCCGAAGAGAGCCTCAGATGATCAGGAACTTTGCACTGGCCTGGCCCATCGGTTGTACATCTGACAGGCGCAAGGGCGGTAGATTTTTCAAGCAGGAGCCTATGGGAATCCCACGTGAACACATGAAGCTGTCTTATTCTGAATCAGACCACTGGTCCATCAAGGTCAGTGTCTACTCAGACTGGCAGTGGCTCTCCGGAGTCTCAACCTGAGGTCTTTCCCATCACCTGCTACCTGATCCTTTAACTGGAGATGCCAGCGATTGAACCTGGGCCTTTTTGCATGCCAAGCAGATGCTCTACCGCTGAGCCACTCTACATGCCAAGCAGATGCTCTACCACCCCAATGTGGTATGGAATAATAATGACGATTGGTAATACCCATTAGCCTTCTTCATTTGTGTACAAACAACGGGTCATCATGATCTCGACTCACCCCAAATTCTGTGCCTTCTGATTTACAACCAGAGTCACACTCAAGAGTCATGAAGCTTGGGAGACCAAAGTAATAGATCAACAATTCTTCCTTTGGGACAGGAAGGAACACTAAGGCCATCTCAAGGGGGAGGGAGGGAGAAAGACAGAGGTCATTCAGACCCCTAACACACAAGGGTCAGAAGGGGAAAGCCATTTTACCTTCGTACAACCAGTTAGCTCATACTTGAACTCGGCCATGATTGTGGCCATTACGAAGATGATTTCTCAATGCTATAATTTCAAGATTTAAAGAGCCAGTTTAAATGGCCAGTGCAAGGATATATCCAGAGCAGGATTAGAGGAAGTGTTTACATCGACTTTTAAGCCCTGATCCGTACTGTAAACAGAGAGTGTGCGGGTGTGGTTTTTATCATTTTCTTAAATTCTTTTATATTTGGAATTCAGGAAGTCTGATCTCTGTATCCACACTACGCCTAAATTCAATCATGTTTAGCAAAGAGAAGCAAGAGGAAGGGGCAGCTGTAGATTCCTTGTCCTTGGAGTGCATCAAGCGTGTTTTGATTCCTGCAGTAGCTGGAGAGAGCAAAGTGGGAGACGCTGTAAAGAGATGATGCCTTAAAGTGGCAATGCATTCAAAGGACGCTGATGTTCTAATCCATCAGCAGGCACTGCTCTAGAAATTAGATGGTAGCAATGGTGAGGAGAGAGAGAGAGAGAGAGAGAGAGAGAGAGAGAGAGAGAGAGAACTAGTTTACTCAGAAGTAAGGGAAAACGGCAGAGGTGCCAGGTGGAGACCCGGGACTGCCATGGAACTTTCCAATCTCCCAAGTAACCAGGATCAGAGGGTTGTAAAACGCATTGGGTCACAGCTGACCTTAGAGAAATGTATTGCCTGAGTTTGAACAACATCCCCGTCCTTTCTGCAAAACAAAAACCCTCCAACCAAAAGTTATTTTTAGAATTTAATGTTGCACAATTCAGGGTTACTGCAGAAAAGGGCATCCCCATATCAAGTTGTCACCTGGTAACATTTAAGCACACTTACTCATGCTGTAATATCACATTATCTTGCCCCATACTATTATTCGCTATCAGCAAGGCATTTTGGGGGGGGGGGGGAATCCCCAATGTCTCCTATTAAATCTCCGAGTCGCCTATTAAAAGAAATACAGGGAATTTGCTATATTGAGACAACAAAAGGAAGTTCTTTCACCATAGACATTTATTCAAGATAGCATGCATTTTGGGATAGAGTTGAGTTCCAAATGCACATTTGAGAGAGATTTGTGACTTGACTTAGAAATCGAGGATATTTCTAAAATACACGGAACCATCAAAAAATCATTCTCCCCACAGCTGAAAAAGAAACAGCCCTTGCCTGTAATACTCTTGGCATCTATCAAATATCCATGGGGAACAACGAGGACGGAGAACCATGATGGAGCAGGATGCAAACAAACCATTGCCCAGGTTGGAGATAATCCTCGAATTTTTTTACTCCACGAATGTTCGGGATTTCCCTTTCTCAAAGAGTTACATGCTGACGGCTCCTGCTTCTAGGGCCAGTTCTCCAGAGCCATTATGCACATCCCCAAATACAGGTAGCGGCTCTAACTGGTAGAAATTTTTTAGCAATGCTACTCAGGTTTCAAGAACAGGTCTTTGTTCACTGTGGGGGGGAGGAAAGCAGGTTATGGTTAAGAAAGCAAAAAAACCATCCTGTTTAAAATACTTTGTCAAAGCAGCCTTTCCCCCACTGTTTATGGGCTTGAGAGGACCGCAAGAGACCCATTAGGATCAAAGAGGGACAGACTCCTTATTCATATTGCACGGTACAGCAAATTTGGTATTTCGTTTGCACAGTTCCAGAAGGGATTTAAGCAGCCGAGTTGTCCATGTTTCTTGGAGTAACAAGAACCATCCAACGCTGGAGCCAACCTCTGGGTGAAATGCAGATCAAGAGACTTTTTTGCGGACCATCAGGTTGTTGGCCAGTCTGGTTTTTTCCTTTCTCCTGGACCGGTGGGACTTGCTTACGGGAAGCCTGTAGGGAACAGACTCAATGGCTGGCTCTCATTAGTTGGAAGAGGTGATCGGTAGCCATCGAAGGTGCGTGGAATGCTTCCGCTGGTGGAACCCGAGCTGTTACTGAGCGTCTCTATGCTTCCTTCTCGCTGTAGCTCTGCAGTGGAAACAGAAAGGCACCCCCTGCCCAGTTAATGTCTCTGGCCAGAAATAAAAATAAGGAAAACGTTGGGTTAGTGTAGGACTAGGCTTGTATCAGGAGCTGCGGTGGCTCAAGTGGTTAAGACGCTGAACTGCAGGCTGTGGAAGGTCAGTAGTTCAGGAGTTCAAGACCCGAGTGCCGCATGATGGAGAGAGCTCCCATCTCTAGTTCCAGCTCCTGCCCACCTAGCAGTTCGAAAGCAAGAAATTGCAAGTAGATTAATAGGTACCACTCCAGTGGGAAGGTAACAGCGTTCCGTGCACCTTGGTGTTTAGTCATGCCGGCCACATGACCACGGAAACGTCTTCGGACAGCGCTCGCTCTTTGGCTTTGAAATGGAGATGAGCGCCGCAACCCTAGAGTCAGATTCGACTGGCTTTCGAGCAAGGGAACCTTTACCTTTACCTTTAGGCTTGTATCACACTCACCGTGGTTACAGCAGGAGTGGACTGGGAAGGGGAAATGAGTCTGGAATGAGCCCAGCAGTGCAGCCAGTACTTCAGGGGCCACTGAACTCAGTTGCACTGACAATAGACCTCGGTTCATCCTTCGCCTTATCCCACAAAATAGCAGCAGCGCAGGAGAAGTTGGTAAGCTGACACCAGTTACCAATGAAAGGTTAGAGCAAAGTGAGCCCCGAAGTGCTGGCAGAGTGGTTGGGTCTAGGCCACCGGGTGCCCCCTAGGACAGTGGCCCACCGGGAAATATCCCTGTAAGTTAAATGGCCAGTCCGCCCCTGGGTTAGATGGTGATGTAGGATTCAACCCAAACTCTGTATCCCCAAATCCCAGCTTTTAAGCTTTTGGTAGGTCACATCCATACAGAATATACCTAGCTCTAAACACTTGTTGAGATTCAAGTTCTGAAACTTGAAAGTCTTGTTGGTAACGGCTGAATAACCATTTAATTTAAAACTGAAGAAATCAAGGCTGGACATTCAAGCCCTCATCAGTCATCTGAGCAACCTTGCCACTGCGGGACACAGAACACCCAGTGTGGCCTCTGATGTACTTAATGGGTCTCTCTATGGTGGCCTCCATTGGCCACGGCAAACTGATGGGTCAGCCTGTTCACCACGACAATCGTCGAAATGCTGCATTTTTTAGTTCACTCCACATTGAGATGAAACAGGATGCAGGACTAGATGTTCAATCCTGCACAGCTGCTCTTATAACTGTGCGGAACCGTCACGTTCAGAGGCAGAATCCTCCGAGTTTCAGTGCTAGCGGGCCGAAACAGAGTGAGGCCCTGCTTGTTCACTGTGTGCAATAGGATACTGAGTAAAGAACTGATCTGATCCAGCACGGGTGCCCTTCTGTTCTTAGAAACAGGGACAATTCCAGGTTTGGTCCTCAGCAGACAATCCCCAGGGGCCTCCTTCTGCCCACCACCAGGGCCCCCTCATGCCCTCCTTTCCACCCCACCTGCATGCTCCCCATCTGCCCGTGTGCCCTTCCCCACTGCTCAGTGGCCTACCCCACCTGATAGCGCTGGCCAGTGTATGCAGCTGGGAGGGTTGCTGTCATGGCCACGAGCAGTGCCACCAATGTGCACCATTAATGTGCCCCTTTCTCAGTGATGCTGGGCAGTTGGGAGGACGGGTGCAGACACATGGCAGGGGAGGTGCGTGGGTGGGGATCAGCAGCAATTTAGCTCTGAAATGAGTGGCATATCCCACACTAATGCTGGCCTTATCCCGTCTGATTTGAGTCCTTTTATCTCCCCCTTGTACACAGCTGGCTTCGGTTAAGCATCTCACATCACTCGACGGGGTTGCCGTCAGCAGGACGCCGGG